ATTTTAAAAAATCAAAATGAAAAATCAAGTTTGGTAACGGTTTCGTCATCCAAATGATTTCCACCATACAGCTAAACAGATAGAGCATGACACTAAAGCTGCCAGTGTCAGGGGAGCAAATCCCTCTGTGGCCGACGCTGCTAAAAATGTTTGCACCCGTGATGTCGTGTGCTCTATCCGCGAAAGTATCCTAATCTACCCAACTGACAGTGTTAAACTCTCATTGGCAAACGCAGGGTGACACTGCGTGTGTAACGGTACAGTGAGCTTCTAGAGTAAATGTTCATATAGGATATGATGTTTTAGAAATAACTAGAGCTGATATGCTGAGAATGAACATCAGGCGTATTCTGAAATGTAAAACAGCCCTTTTGGTGGTTGCCAGCTAGTTACTTCTGGGTGACTGGAAGCAGAAAAGCCTTTGGGGCTTTAAAGGAACCTAAATTCACCCGGTGCTCATATGTCCATAAGTTCATTCATCCAGTACCTGCTGATGAAAAGGCTTCAGTGTGCATAAAGTAAATATGATTCAGTTTAAAAGCAAAATAAAACATATAGTGATTTATATGCATAGACATTAAATGCACCTGCAAAGCCTTGAAACGAGCTTGGCTCCTACACAGGTTTCTGGAGCAGACAGACTATAAAGTAAGATATCAATTAATACATATTGCTATAACTATATAAACACTAGGTTTTCATCCATTGGTCTCATATTTCAGATATTTTTAAATTCCAGTATTTTCAAAGTCAGTATATTTCAGTTTGATTAATCTTTGGATGCATATCATAGATCTCATTTACTTCATTCATTTGTGTAGCAATCACTAAGTAAAATTTCTTAAAGATGCACAGAATTGCCCAGTAATGACATTAAGATAGACATAAAATGATCTAATGTGTAGTAATGTTAGCGTAGCTTTCATTTTTAACTCATGACAGTGAGGATATGAGGTGAGAGTAACGGTGTAGGATTTTGGTTTGTTTTGAAAGTACATCGGCTAAATTGTGTGTAATTAGAAAACAGCACAAAGTAGAATTTAATGATCTTCTATTAGTGGCAGGGCGGCACGGTGGTGTGGTGGTTAGTGCAGCTGGCAGGGCCTTTCTGTGTGGAGTTTGTGAGCCTGTGAACCAATTAAACTAACGTCCAAAGACATTAGTTTAATTGGTGATTGGTGTCAATGTAGATATGAATGGCTGTGGTAGATAGTTAAATTATCCAAGGTGTAACCCACCTCTTCCCCTATGACACCTTGGGATAGACTTCAGCCCAGCTGTGACCCTGAGCCTTGGATATGCAGAAAAAAAACCTATGGATAGATCATTAGAGGTACCTTCCTGTAGACTTTGTTAGATAATTCAGTTTCTTATGTAAAAAAAGCCTCTTTGCTTCTTGTTCGTAGCATCTTGAATCCTGTCAACAGTCAGCTAATACATCGATAATGGAATCATCAGTGCAGAGTTGCACTCCAGCAAACCTACCAGCAAAGCACCGTGTCACCTCCCATTGACTAGGATGCCACTCAGATAAGTCCCCTGATTAATCAGACTCTGCACATCATCATTATCAGTCATGTAAGACACGGCAGCCATTAAATGATAGGAAAACTGCTGAGGACACACACAGAGACATTACCGAAGCTTCTCTCTATCTCCCTCTGTCTTTTGTTTTCACATGCACACATACACACTGCAGGGAGTGTGTATGGAAACCAGTGGTAGTGTGTCAGTGGGGAAGCACTAACACAACAGTGGGTCAGTGGCTGTGCTGCAGTCTGAAGCCCACTGCATTTCCATGCACACTCCACTGCAGCACTTTGATTGCACACTGGCATCCCCCTCCTCTGCATCTCCACTGAGGAGCCATCCCCATCATTACCCTTCTCACATGAGAACCCACTGCTGACATCTCTTATTGTGCGCCGCGCACTCACACGCTCACGCACGCCAAAACCAGCGTGCTCACACAGACACACACAGGTACACGTGTGCACAATTAACACACTAAAGTCCTCGTCTTTCTTTCTTTCTTTTTTTTCCAAGCAAGTAAATAGGACACACAGGGCTGCCCTTCTTTCTTGTGTCCTTCCATTTGCTTGTCCACTTCTTTCTGCACAGCAGAATCAAAGCTGGTTTGTAGGACTCGGAAGCTGCTCCCAGAGGAGCCAAACCTGGACGAAAGCCCCGAGAACCACAACCGCTGTAACACTGTGATTTATTACTCGTGCACCAAACAAAGAGGAGTTCACAGAGAAAGTCCTCTTCACATGAATGCACTGCACCAAGAAGACCAAGAGTAATGAAGCACTCGCACACGCACGCACACACACACAGTCACACCTCAGCGCTGTCGCAGTGCTTTCTCTCTGTGTACCGTGAGGTGAGTCATCAGCACGGAGAAGCATAACCTCACAGCTCCAGCTAATCTCTCCTCTCCTCCTCCACCTCCTCTTCAACCCGCCAGCATCTCATTTTCTCCACTTATGGATGAAAGCATGGTGCCTTACATCATGGCTGCTGGCTCACGTATAGATATAAGGCCTCAGAGCCAAACACACAGCCAACGCATCCTGGGTAATCACCTCATTTTCCATAGGGGAACGGAACATGTGCAGGTTTTGAAAAATAGCCAGTTACTCATTAAATATATCTGTGCAATCATGGCTTACATGCCTTTGAATTTTCACTTCAGTACAGGCTAAGAAACCTTTGCACATTCACAGATGAGTGCTCAAGAGGTCTTGAGTGTTGATTTTAAAACCAAGAATAGCTGCATATTGTAAACAATCTGGCAACCAGCGGCCTTTAAACTGGATTCAGCAAGCTTCCCATCATTCCCTGCACCTTCCCTGTGGGTACACAGGTTCTCAGCGCCCTTTAAGGCAGAAGCCTGGAGATGTGATTAAATGCTGCGTGTTCACTCTCAGTCAGCAGGATACTGACCAGAGGCAACAAAAAGCCAAACTAATAAACACAGTGCCTCTTTGAACCCACACAGCTGACAATCAATCTGCTCCTCTGCTGTGGATCAGAGAAAGTGTTCAGAGAATAAAAGGGGGAAAAAAACTCACATGACTTCACATAGTTCAAACAAGAGGAAGACATTCCCAGGTTGCCTTCACATTTATAACAAGGCAGGCAAGCAGTCGTGCTTCACGCTGTCACACTGGGACACATGCTGGCGCACAATTTTTGAAGCCAAGCATCCATCACTTGAGGCAGTTTCTGTCCTACTTCTTCTAGAAGTGAACAAACAAAAGATTACGCTTTTTTATCCTGATATACATGCAGACAACACTGCCCGACGCTTGATTCGCCAGCTGTAGTGACATTCGCATTAACAAAGACAAGTGCACTGAAAACAAGCCATTCACAAAACCTGCAGATGCATGTCAGAGACGTCAGTTTCCAAGGAGCGTCTTCGTGTATACGGCTGAACACGAACAGGTGAACGCACAAACAAAGCATCAATCCTGAAATGAAATTTTAAGAGGACTTACATTGGCTTGTTAGCGTACTGCATCTCCTGTGGAGGCTCTGTGACCATTCTCTGTGCTGTTATGCTGTTTAGTGTGTTGGTTTGTTTCTGTCAGCCTGTCTGTGTGTGTATGTGTGTGTCTATGCGTGTGTGTCAGTGCCCAGGGCCAAACCACTAGGATGGCTGTCCCCATGCTGACTTAGCTGTCATACATCAAAAAGGAACGGCCCAGGGAGCATATCAGCTTGCCTGTCCCTTCACTTGAAGCATCACAAACGCCCCCCAACCACCCATCCATGCTACCTCTCATACACACACACGACACTCATATACACACTATGAAATATTTTCTGCCCAACCCCCGCCACCGTGCAAGCTGGGCCAATGGAGGTCTCCAGAGGTCCACACACACACACACACATCCAGAAAGACACCGTCACTCAGTCACGACGCATTCAGAAGGGCTGACACACTCTGTGACAAAAAACACCCTCGCAGGACTTTGTCTACCAGGCTCGCTCTCTTACATACAAAAAAAAATCAACAAACTCACCAGAGGTCATTTTATGCGCCTCTTTTCTGCAGTTTTATTTTTAGCGGTGCTGTGACTGTTTCAGTGCTGCATTGCTTAGATTATTCCTAACAATATTAACTCATGTGGTCTTTTTGATTTTTTAAAATAAGTATTAGAATAAAATTCTATTACACCTCATGCAGTTCACAAGTTTACATTCACTCATCATGGACATTAATTTCATGTTAATTTGGGGCTTTTAATGATTTCTCTGAACTGTTTAAGGTCTCTTGTAGTCATTTCTAAACCACTGCAGATTCAAAGATCATCAGTTAAAAATCATTTATGTAAGTACAAGTTATTTAGACCTTTACCAAGGACTGAAAGAAGACCAAACTGTCACCCTTACCAAAACCCTGACCTCAAGTCTACTGAAAATTTGTGGAACGTGTGGATAAACCAACCAATTCAAATGAACTTGACCAATTCTGCCCAGATGAGTTGTCAAATATCCAACAATAATTATGCCTCGTTGGTGGCTACCATGGGTCTAGTAAAGTTCCAACTTGCTAGAGGACACTTACCATATTTTGGCAAGGGTGTATGTAAATATTTGAGCCTTTATGTATGACATTGACCCTCTTTGAATTCAAGAAAATCCAAACTAAATTCAAAGTTGTTCACCCAATTCTTATTTTTTAATCACATGAAAGATGGGTGCTCTAAAATCATCCCAGCCGTGGAAAAATAAATCTTTAAAAGGCTAAAACTATTCAAACATTCATGCCCATAATGAGCGGATATTAACTTTGTATCACAACTGAAAACGATCTTCTGCATTTTGCATTGTTTCGTCACTCTTTTAGTCACAGCTGTTAATTTGTCATCGATCTGAATGTTTAAAACATGGAAGGATGATTTTATCTTCTCGTAGAGCATCGTGTGATTCAGCAGAAATAAAACTCAACATGACATCATTGATAGGGTATGTACAGCAGTTCTCACCTGGAGTCAAATATGGGGTCGGTGTACATGGGAGGCGAGCACAGAGGTTGCTCTCCTGGAGTGTTTGGGGGCGCAGTGATGCCCCCTTTCTCGCCCTGTCCTGAGACACCATCTGTAGGAGCAGATTAATATTTTAGCCCTTTTTACAACTTGGCTGATTTACACCTCTTTCTCTCTGACCGGGTGAACAAGCAGGAGAATTCATGAGCTGGTAATCGTGGGAAATTGCCACATGTAAAGAAGACACTCACTTCTCTTTGTGAGAGTGTGTTTTATGTAAAAACACATTAACCTGGAGTAGTACGGCACAGACAAGGCCCTGCATTTGCACCCACGTTGAGGCCATATGTTGTCAGAGGCTAGTTAGGAACGCTGGCGGCTCAGTAATCCCCTCAGCCACCCAGATTTAAGAAGCTATTTTTGCTTGCTATTAGTCTGTTGTGCTGGATTACTGCAAAGTAGTTTAATTTCCTTTGTATTGTACTTTTTATATGTGTACATAATTAAAACTTTTGAACATGTAAGTGCAAAGCTGCCACAGATTAATGAGCTGAAACATTTTTATTTGAAAGACCCTCTATGACCTCTTGTTTTTGTGCTTTACTGCTTAATGGTGTAATTAGAGGCTTATTAATGTTTTTACCTTCTCCATCCAACAGAAAACAGGTTAGCAGGTGAGGACAAACTTCCTCCAAAACAGAGCAGAATGAGCTGAATGCAGCAGGCCCCTTCGAGGACAGGTGGTCCAGGAATATCTCGGTCCGCTTCTTGTCCGAATCCTGTCCCAGTATTTCCTTGTACTCTCCCAGTGAAAAAACCTTGTCATACACCAGGTAAGGAAGTACACTGTTGACATCCAGCTCGCTCAGGATCTTTTCTCTGTGCTGCTGGAGAATCTTAGCTGCCCATCTCTGCTTCTTCCTGGCACATGGCTTCCTGCCAGACCTCTGCTGCTGCTGTCTTCTTTGCCTCTTCACGAACCACCTCTTGGTGCCACTGCCAAACATCTTCGAGTTGAGGAAATCCACCAAAACTTCTTCCACAGCTCTGTCAAAATAGTTCCCAAAGGAGGGGAGGTGCATATTTCATGCCAGTGAAGAGACCTTGCCACATATTTCTTCAAGCCTCCCTTTGTTGTTGTCTGAGTCGTTTATCTGGGCCAGGAAGAGACAATCTGGACAGTAGCTGATTTCTAGCCGGGTACTTAGCGACACTAAGAAGATTAACAGACTCTTAAGTACACCAATGCACATTGCTCACCAGCGCTTAGACACCCTCAACATATTTTGCATTATTTTCCTGTCTTGTTGGAAGATCAAACATTCACTAAAGTCTTCATTTCATATCCGTATGGCCCATTTAATTAAAAATGTGTCTAACTAGTTTTTCTGTTCTGTTACAGCCCAGAAGATAATTTAGAACAACCATGTCAGAAGGCTCCACAGTTATTTTGGGTTGTGCTGACTGGCCTCGAAATCACCAGGGACTTACAAAACAAGGAGTGTGAGAGTCAAATCCTCTACCCATCGAGGAAAACTGTGTAAAGTGAACGAGACATACTGTTAGGCTGAGTAAGATGGGAGGAACTCAGCAATCCGCAGCTCAGCAACTCTCCTAACAACTCACCTTCCTGGATATTGCTGTGAGAATGTGACACCTGATTAAAACAAGATTAGAACATTTCGTCACGGGCACTGACCCATTAAATCCAGCGTTACTCCTGCTTAAGGAGAAGCATTAACACATGAGGAGGAAAAAGGGTGTTTCAAGGGGAGCTTAATGTATTTCAATGAAAATCTATTAAAAAGAAAAGACTAATGCAGCACAAACCAATATGACCTTGAAGTGGATTTTATCAAAGTGCTGTGGAAAAAAATAAACGCCTTTACCAGAAGATGGTGCTATTTGATCAGTGACTCCTGCACATGTGGCCATAATAGGCTTTCATTAAATATTCACCAGGACCAAAAACTGAGCCAAAAGTAATACATCACCGTATTTGAGAAGTATGAATACAGAAACAGCTCGTTATAAAAGATGATACAAAACAGGGGCTGTGGCAGAGATCATTTTTACAGTGGTCAGGCTCAGATCGTTACTCGCGTCGGGGTGGAATAGAAAATGAGTTTTTCTTCTATGTTGAGAATTGCTGCAGGCTAAATAATCACTTTTACGTCAGTTACCGTTGTCATTAGCCTAAGCAGGCATGACTTATATCTGAACAGACACCAAGAGAACTTAGAAACTTTTAAAAAAAATTTAAGCCTTAGTGATTAAAAAAAAGGACCATTTGGTAAAAGCTTTGATTTTTTCTTTATTCTTATTGAAAAAGCTCATAAAATAATTACAGTGTAACTGAATGGCTGCTCTGTTAAACTGTATCTCTACTGGAAGTTAGAAAAAAAGAGTATTCTGTGAGTATGTGCATTGCACTTTAATATGTCTCATCATCACTAGATGGGACTTGGTCATGGCCTCAGATTGCACCAGGGAAGACAGCACTGTAGTTAGTGTAAATTATGATTTGCTGATATAATTTTTATATTCTTTTTTTTTTTTTTAAATATGTGCATTATAATTTGTGTATTATTTGTCTTTAAAGGGCTAAAATTAACCAAGAAATATTTCAAGTTTTTCCAGCAGGAAAGCAAAAATACATGCTAACACACCCACATTTCAGACACAAATGTTCATTTAAACTGTACTTTAAACAGTTCATTTAAACAACTGCCTCGATTGAAGGAAATGTAGTGAAAGATTTATTTTTGTTATTTACCCACTTGATATGATTTGACTGGGACCTCCTGCAGTGGTGTGGTAGTTTTGTGTTCTGAGTTTTACAAATCATTCACACTCACTCAGCTACTGTAGTTGTCATCAGTAACAACAGAGAGGCATAAGGCCAGTTGTACATGCAGTTTTCCCCTTGTATTAAGCAAAGGAGGACATGTTTGCTCCACGGTGTCGCCTGTCTGTGGAACGCTGAGTCTTTCTCTTCCTCTGTCTAACTGCACAGCCACCTACTGTGCTTTGCACTTATAGAGCACTCTGCTCCGGCCCTACATCTACTATAATGGGAGAGAGGTTAAGTAGCAGATGCAAGCCAGGTTTACCATTCTTTGCAGCACCCTAAACCTACAGCTAAGCCAGAGAACCACACCGTGCTGTCATTCTATATTAGGTACTCCTTGCTATTACCAGGTTGAATACTCATTTGCCTCCAGAACTGCCTGAATTCTTCATAACATAGATTCAACAAGCTGCTGAAAGCATTCTTCTGAGATTTTGCTCCATATTGAAATGATAGCATCACACAGTTGCTGCAGATTTGTCGGCTGCATATCCATGACGTGAATTTCCTGTTGAACCAAATCCCAAATGTTGGACTGAGAGCTGTTGACAGTGGAGGTCATTTGAGTACAGTGTTTAAGAAACCGCTTTGAGCTTTGTCATGTGGCTTGTTATCCTGCTGGAAGCATCCATCAGAAGATGGATACACTGCGGTCATAAAGACATGGACAACACTCAGGTAGAGGCGGCGGCATTTATTGATGCTCATTAGACTAGACAACGTTTTTGCAATCTTCTATTGTCCAGTTTGGTGTATTGCAACGCTGCCACATTCAAAGTCACTTAAATGACCTTTCTTCGCTATTTTGATGCTCAGTGTGAGCTACAGTGGGTCATCTGGTTGAGCTGATATTTGAGTTAATGAGTAGCTGAATGGGTCTGGTTCACAGAGTAGCTGCTGAGTTTAAACATGACCTGTATTTTGATGCAGGTCAAAGTTCAGTGTCAGGTGCATTTATTGCATACTGAATCACTTTGATTTGACTGATTTATTGTGTCTCTTAAGAGCATTCCTTTGGTGGATAAAGTCATTCCTGTCTCATTTGTTGTCACTTTATTTTTGTCATTCACAAACAAACTATATATGTCGTGGTCCCTCAGTCCTTTCCGGCTGATCAGGTTTTATTTTCTCTCTATCTCTCTGCTTCAGTTTCTATTGCTTCTATTGCTTCTCTCTTCTCCACTTCTCTTTCTCTTTGTATATTGTTGTCTATGCTACTGGGTGGGACTCATTCTGGGTTCCCGCTCTAGACTCTACACACCTATGGAAATCCCCCACCTATCTCCAATTATCTCATCAGCAGCCACAATCCAGATAGTTGCTGGCTGTCATTCTTTGCTGGATTGTTGAACAATCTAGTTAGTGAAGTGCTGGCTGCTTCTGTTTGTGTTTTGCCTTGAATTGAATTCGTGTGTGTTTCCCTCCGTACGCATCTTCCCTTGATTACTGCCCTGGGGTGTGCTGAGCCCGCCTGAGAGAGAAATGAGTTGAGGAGTGTCCGAAGTTTTGATGCCTTTTCCCCTGTATCCCTGGAGCCCCATTTCCCCTTGTACACTGTATATAGCAGAACTGGTGATGACTGCACATAGACACACTGAACTTTCACCTTTCCGAGTTTACTGAGTCCACTCCTTCCAGTAAACGTGACAATGCACATGTAGACAAAGTCTTTCTGCGCCTATATTCACAAAGCTCCTTATCTCCTTGCCTAACAACTGTTTATTATTGTTTCTAAAAGCATGACTGTATGTCCGGAATTGATGAAAGGTGTCAGACGGCTGTGTACACGTCTGCATCAGTGCATCAAAGGTCACAGACCATGTTCAACAACTTTGGTTTTTTACTGAGTGCTTGCTGTATTCAAATAATTCCTGCACAATGCATAAATAGAAGAAAAGCACACTCAAAGAGTGGTGAGCATGTTCCCTCAGACATAAAATGACACCTCTTCAAGACATTAAGTGTACTTTCAGCCCTGGATCCTATTTTCTAAAAGATGGCTCGTCTCGCTTGTTTCTCTGACAGCAGCATTTTCTATGTCAAGGTGACCGAGACCACAGCTGTTTTAGCAAAAAGAAAATAGGACCATTGTAGAGCAGCAGGATCTCAGTTTTTCCACAACCACAACTTCACCACATCTGCAATAATACTAATAATAAATAAACCGGTAAAAAATGGTTTTGCAGTTATTTAGACTTGCATGTTTATCAATAAAGGACATGCAGGAAAGACTTATAGGCAAACACATGCTTACTGACTGCTTTGTCATAAATTTTAAACCTCAATTCCAGAGTTTTTGCCAGATTTTTAAAGCTCAGAATTTTTTTTAATCCAGAATATGATCTTTGTATTTACATTTTTTTAAGTCCACCCTTAAATTCTTGCTTTTACACTCAAGGCTACTTTATATCCTCACATTGGTAAGACAGATCAAGAAACCTCAGCATCAGACCAAATGCATTACCAAACATTAATACACATAATAAAATAAAAACTTGAAATGAAATGAAGCAACCTGATCATAGTGGGGTTTTACCGATCAACGCCACGCACAAAGAGAACAACTGAGGTTTGTTCTTTAAAAATATCTTTTCTAACCAAATGGGGTTTTTTTTTCATACTGTAAGTAAGGCAGCAGTTAATTAATAACTGATAATGAAGAAAAAAGTAAGACCAGCTATTAGTTCTGCTTTCAAATTTAATGAATTTACCAGAGTGGCACTGTTTTAAAGTTTAAATAAAGTAAATGTGAATGTGCCATGCAGGTCGGATCAGTTCCAGTTCCAATTCTGCAGATCTGAGTCTTTCTTTTAAAGAAATACATTTTAAAGCATGTGCAATAACTACCAGTGTCAACTGTGCCATCCCATTGTTATTACATATTTACAAATGAAAGGCTTATCCGTTATCAGTGACATTATGTTCTACTGCCTGAGATCGTAACCTGAGGGTAAGGCTGCATACTTAATGTTTAATCGCAGCTCTCTGTTTGCGCTCCCATTACACATTTAACAATGAATTTTTTTTTATCTAATTCTGGATTATAGTTGTGCCTTTATCAACTCTCTCAGTACTGACCCACACTGACATGTATTCATTTGTTATATATTTTGTTCCTGAATCTTTATCATAAAGTCAAGCCAAAAAACCCCACTTACTGCATGACTCAACCTCTGTTTGACATTATCGCACCAGACAGAGAAAATGCACTTAAAGATAAGCAAAATAAAACAGTTGAGAATTTCTGAGGAAAAGAGGACAAAATCATAATGCAAATTTTTGTAACGACTAGTTATCAAAATTTTGGCCACTGAAAACATATTTTCCAGTTGTAATGTAACAAATCTAAGTACACTATATTTGTGCAGGCGCTTTGTTTTTGTTGGTGTGTTGAACTGAACGAATACTGACTATACTGGGAGAAGTATATGTTAGAAAGGTTTTAAAAGTTACATTGCTGCTGAGACATGTCATTTTGATACTCTCCCCAGTCCTAAATGTCATGGTCCTGGGTCGTGTGACCCAGTGTTATGAGGTTGTTGATGTTTTTGTCATTCGTTTGAGTTTAGTTTCATTTCAGTTTATCTACTTACATTCTGTCATGCCTAGGTTACAGTTCTAGTTCATGATTTATCAAGCTCCCCATTTGTCTCATCCCCGTGTTAAGTCTTCCGTATCAGCCTGTCATGTTAAGTCTACGTGTGTTTATCTGTCATGTTTCATGTCCAAGTTTTCTTTGTTTGTCAAGTTCCAGTCATGTCTGTGTCTCGTTATGTTTCCTGTTTTATTTTGAAAAAGGTTGTGTGTGTTCTGTGTTCATGTGGTTAGATTAAATCTCCCCTGTGCTGTCATTATGTTTAATTCTAGTCAGCCATGTCCTCTTGTGTCTCCACTTCCCCTGATCACCTCATGTGTGTATTTATGTCCTCAGGCTTCCTGTGTTCACGTTCGCGTCGTCTGTTATCTCTCAGTCATGGGTTTTGTTTTCACTGTGTTCATAGTTACTCAGTGTTCATGGTTTCTTCATAGTTTTTTCACTGAGTTTCATAGTCTTTAGTTGCACAGTGTTCAGTCGTCTTTGCTTTCTTAGTTTCACGTTTTGCCTGCAACCAGCTAAATAAAGCTCGCCTTTTGTTAAAGCCCCGTCACGTCTCCTGTAACGCCTCTCTCTCTGCATCTGGGTCCTGAAATCTAAACACTCTGGCGCACCCCGCCGTGACACTAAATTTCGAAATTTTAAAATGAGTGAATGTAGGTGACAAAGGCATGATGATAAATTAAGGGTATGGCACATCCTTGGGACGTTTGTGGAAGTTGTACTGTAAGCCAGCGGTCTTAGAGTATAACAGTTGTAACCATGCTTACTGTATTTATTACTGTAAGTATTTCAGAGAACAGGGAAACGTTTCAGAGTAACTCAAATAAATTACATTATAGTCAGCAGTAGGAAAATTGAGCCACTGCATTAAAGATGCTGATAGGTGCTGATATGAAGGAGTAAACAGCAGAATGACCTCCTGTGTCACCTTTGTTCTACAGAATAATTCTAATAGCGTGAGACGCTCTTTGTGACAATGAGTAATGACTCATGTGATCTTTACACATTATAAAAACAAGGAAATGTTCACCTCTTGCTTCTCATATTAGTCTCTACAGGTGTTTCCAAGTAAGAATTTATATACTGCGTCTTGCAAACAGTTTCCCAGCAATGTAACTTTGCTTCCTTGTCTCCTGATTGGCGCAATAAACTTCCAAACGATTTCTTTAGATAACCTTTTATCTCCCAAGGAAGCCAGTGACCGAGTTATTGTAGCTTTTGCATTTTCAAATCAGTGTGAACTTTTATTTTATTTTATTTTGACGTTTAGTTTCAATCTCAGTTTCATTTCCATTAGTCTCCAGTGCAGGATTCAGGGTTTGAAAATGTTTAGTTTTAGTTTAGATTCTATTCATTTGCTAATTTTAGTCTTTTTAAGTGTTATAGGACGGAGAGCAGATGTCAGAGACGAGACGATGAGAATGATGATGACAACTATTTCGGACATATAAAATAAAATAAACCAATATACTCACATATAAAATGGTCAATTATATCAGCATTAAATTTAATTTTCTTTTCTTCTTTCTTTAATTGAATTTTTCATTTATTTCATGAGTTTCATGAACTTCAAGGTTTTTGACTTTGAAAACAAAATGTTAGTGTGGTTTCTAAATTCTGGCTTGATACATGATCCCGATTGCTTTTTTTCCCTAAAGTTTACGTGAGAGTTGAAGTAAAGTTTCGTATGTATTACCCCAGACTTCCACACAGTACTCTAAATATGGCAACATAAGATTAGTAAGTGTCACAATAAAACTCTGAACCTTTTGAAATCAGTTGACCCGCAGTGTTGTAGTCATCCACAGTCTCACTAAAGATGTTTATGAAATCCTTGTCAGGCCTGTGAAGGGCCATATAATCCTAATCTTTGCTCTTAGATTACCTTCACTGTGGCTTACTTGTGCTTCTTAGAGACTGGGAGGATGATTTTTTAGTTGACTCTACTATGCAATCAGCTTCCACTCTGGGCTCAGGACACGAACACTATCTCTATTTTAAGAATTAGAGTTTAAATTTTCTTTTTTTTGTTAAACCTTACAGTTCCAGGATCCAGTGACCCTGAACCTTGCCTTAGGCGTGCTGCAGTAGTCTCAGGCTGTTGCACTAATTTCCCAACAATGCACTGAGCATTTTCTCTCTGATGCCCTCTCTTGACTCCCTGTGTGGTTATGTGCCACTTTTGTGTGTCACTAACTTTTGTCTCTCTGCTCTCCTTTTCTTTCTTGAGACTAACCCACCAACTGGTGTATTTGAATAACCCCGAGCCTGCTTCTCCTGGAAGTTTTCTCCTGTTAAAAAGGAGTTCTTTCTAAATGTTATAAATAAACATTTAAAAAATGAGTTCTTCCTTCTCAGCTCTGCCAAATGGTAAATGGTCTGACAGTTGGGGTTGTCCCCCTAAAATTACAGTCTTTACCTTAAAACAAAAAGCACCTCAGGACAACTGTTGTTATGAACTGCTTTGAAATAAAATTGACCCAGAGGCACAAAATCCATATTACTTCAAAGACCATGTCTTCCTCATTAGTGCTGCTCAGAAACTCTTAAGGCCTTTCACCTCAGCTGCTCCAGTGAAGCTTCTCAGTGTCTGTCAGATCAGATGCATCAAGCTGGACAATAGTTTCAATTTGTGAAACTGTGTGCAAGGTGAAGAACAGCAATCATTAGACCCAGTCATGCTTCAGAGCCTTGGTGAAATATTCTTGACTGTTATGCACCAGCAGAGAGGTTTAGCTAAACAACACACACAGTTACAGTAAATCCTCTGTGTTTTCCTACCGCCTGTGCCAGCCAAGTAAAACATTTACCAGTGCAAAATGCATTTAAGTGTTTCTGTGGTCACGTCAGCTTGTATCTCGTGCTTAAAGTTAAACTAGAACTTTATGATACCCGTGCATCCACCCATCTGATCTTAAGTGTGTTTTATAAGCAATAAATAAATGCAATCCACTGTTTAGTGCAGTGAGGCTTGTTTGGCTTACCGCTCAACCAGCAAATCCCTTTTAGGAGTTTTGGTTATTGAAATGAATGTTTAGTCCAAAAGCTTGCAGAAGGAGCCAAAAGCAGCACAAAACCCTCCAGATTTTTAATGTAAAATGTTTGTTTATTTCTCAAAGTTATACAGATACAATAAAGCAAGAAATCAACAATATAAACCGGCCGTACACTTCAGATAAAAACACTCACAAGATTCACAATGAATAAAAATGGGTTTGACAAATTATAGGTACATTATTTCTCACAAGATATACCCTTATTGATTCTACAATGATGTTTATGATTGGATTAAAATGTATCAGGTTGTATCCTTCAAGTAATTCAAGTAATTAAAATAAAAACTAGAGTCTACCAAAATGGCTCTACCACTCTCTATTCTTAACACATAAACATGGCTAGTTTTGTTCTTTCTGTAAATAAGTTAGAAGTTTTCATAGTGATGTATGAAATGGGCCTGATCCCTCTTGTTCATCTGCTGGCAAGCTTTCTCCACATTTTTGGTCAGTCCTGGAGGACCACAGCTGAACACTCCAATTTTACCCACCTAAAGAAAATGATACAAATTCAGACGTTAGAATAATCCACTCATGTCCTCCGTCGGGTAAATAAGGACGGATGAAGGCCTGACCTCTGGATGAACCTCCTGCAGGGAGCTAAAAAAGGAGACGAAGGGCGGGCGGCCAAAGTGGGTGACGGACCTGAGGCCGGTGAAGAGGCTGCGGTTCCACACTTTTTGAAAATGGCGCTCACACACGTACTGCACACACAAAGATGGGGAAATTCATTAGTGAGTACAGTACTCATGTGAATCCTGACAAGAGTTATCACTTCATTTGCTTCAAAAGTGTCGTTAGACTGCCTTTCAGGGCAGCTGGGATTCAGTCTCAGCAGCCTTCCTGTGTCTCATTCTAGTGGAGCTTTCAATTACAGGTTCATTGTAGCTTGTTGTTTTTGTTTTCTACACTGATTGCAGCGGTCCTGTAGTATCCTGCTGTTTAAGACACTCACCAAACTCTGAAAACTAAGCAAGATGTCAGTCTTACATGTTTACAGAAACACACACCAGGTTCAGGGATACTACTCCCTTTGTGTTTCTGTTTGGCTGTTAATCTTGTTTTCTTTGGTTCTCTAGTTTTGTGACCCGTGACCATTAAAACACCAAGTCTCTGGTTGTTTAATGTTAGCCCACTTATTAACTTTCCTCACATGGGAAGATTGATAGCGGTTTGGGTAATTACAATAAATTTGCATACTTTTGTACTACGAGTGGGATTCAAACAGATCTATACTCTATGCATAATATCATTTTTCACACTCTAAGAGATGCACCGAGGGCACCGGTATATTGCCTAAGGACACTTTTTGACATGCTAAATGGAGGAGCTTTCTAATTAATGGATGACTCAAAACTTCAGCTAAAAGTCTGGAAACCAGGGAAAACAGCCTGTGAAACTCAGTCATGTGCTCTATTCTATTTGTTCGACCTGTAAAAAGTGGTTTCAAAGGAGCACTTGCTCTGACTGTTCAATAGGAACAAAGCAAATTCTAATCGTGCCCATGAAAGCGATTCTGCTAAGAAATCAGTAAAGGTTTTATCAAAATTAGACAAATAAGATGTAATGTGTTTAATAGCCAGCTTTACAGATGTTTTGCACAGGTTAGCTTCCTTGTTAGAAGGCGAGTGACATGAATCTTGTCATCTAACTCTCATCAAGGCATTTGGTATCCTAAACCAGGTTTGGCCAACTCCAGGCCTCGAGGGCCGGTGTCCTGCAGGTTTTAGATCTCACCCTGGGTCAACACACCTGAATCAAATGATTAGTTCATTAACAGGCCTCTGGAGAACTTCAAGACATGTTGAGGAGGTCATTTAGCCATTTAAATCAGCTGCGATGGATCAAGGACACATCTAAAACCTGCAGGACACCGGCCCTCGAGGCCTGGATTTGAACACCACTGTCCTAAACAATCCCTTTAATACAAATGTTGATTTAATTGTTTGATAAAGGTTTAAATACATTTCACTACACTCTCTATTTCATGTGATACTTTGAAATGGTGACTGCAGATCTTACCAGCATGGTCGTGCGGAGGTCGAACTTTTCAGCCACCTGAGTGATATAAGTGTGGACCGACACCAGATCCTGAGTGTCCATTTCTTCCACCTCCCTGATGATGTCTGACACCCACTCAAACTGACGCTGTGTCCGTGTCACCCAGATGAAGTAAACCTGAAAAAGTACAGGACTGTTAGGAGGAGGATTTCAAGATAAAATGTGTTTCTGGTTGTTTCATTCAGGACTCACTTTTTTGCACAAAACCTTGGACTTGACAGAGGACTTGAACACCAGGTCTTTGAGAATTGAAGTGAACGGGGTGACTCCAATCCCTCCTCCCACCAGAACAGACACCTCAAAGTCAATCCACTCCTGATGGCCCTCGCCAAAAGGTCCATCCAAGTACAGCTTAGGGTGAAGTGAAAGATGAATACCAGTGCCATGAAAATAACTGAGATTCAGATGAAACCACATGCAAAAACAACCTACCTTTGGAAAAGCTCCAAGCTCCAGCAGGTTTTCCTCGGTGTAGAGCTCTCTGAGCTGGCTGGTCCACGGCCCCACAGCTCGGATGTGCAGGCTCAACGTCTCTTCGTGAGGAGCTGATGTGAGAGTGAATGGGTGGTACTCATCCGTGCCCAACATCAGACATGCTATGCGAACCCACTGGCCCGAACGGTAAACAAAGCCCTGTGGCCGCTTGAATTCCAGATGTGTCACACCTGCAGGTAGGATAAGTCATGCACAAACACATTGCATGATTTCAGTGAAGACAATGCAACATTTTCAGAAATCAGGTCGAGACAGAACAATGAGCCATTTAATAGAGAAAAGCCATGTTTAATCTCCCGAAAGGGTCACCTGATGGCAGCAGCTCAGCTCTGATAACTGGGATCTCCACCTTCTTCCTACTCAGGCTGATTAGTTTGTCCAGGAGGAAGAGCAGGCCAGGTGGGATGAGGTAGATGTGGAAACGAGGCTCTTGAAGCAGAGCGAAACTGCCATGAATAACTGTCTGTCAAGACAAAACCAAAGCTGGTATCACACCGCTGTTCAAAACTGCCTCAGTTGTGCGCTTTAAACCCAAATAGTACTTACAAGAATGTACACGGCAACATAGAGGTAATGGGTGATCCAAAATGCACGAAAACTGATGCGACGGAAATAGTGTGAGGCAAAAACGTACATGAATGCGAACGCAAAGAGAAGCAAGACCCCAGTCATTCCTATAAGAAAAGAAAAATGCAGAGCAAGCAAATTAATTATTAAAAAAGTAATACTGCAGCATGTCTGTAATCAACTATTTCATAGCATACCTGGAACAGTTTGAAAGAACCACCAGTACCACTTGGGAGGAAGTTCAGACCTAAAAGGAAAACACGGCAAACATAAACTGGGATAAAATTCCAAAATCTGCAACATCTAAGGTTTCGTTTGAAGTCTTACCCGTTGTTTGATACGACTTTTGGGAAGAGACAAGATAGGATGTTAAGGTCGCTGACGGAGAAGACGTAGATGTTGACCACGTGGCCCAAACTGTGAACAACTGTAATGAAAACAGAAAACAGTGAGCACCACATGAATATTTATATCACCAAACATCAAATCGTGACCATCCTTCCCATAAATACCGACTTGAGAGGATGATGGCACTCATGGCCATAAAGCGATGAAAGTCAATGGCAGCGTCAAAGGGGATGTATCGATTCAGGAAGGTCTCTCGGCAGAGCGTGATGAGGTTGCGACACACGGTGAGAAGCATGTAAGGAAACAGAAAGGAGATGGCAGCGGCTGAACCACGGGACACGATGATACCCACCATGGATGTCTCGGGGACACCTGTAGATACAGACTGCAAGCCATAGTCTGCGCACAGTAATTGTATTCAGATTAGATGGGGGGGGGGAAATGAACATGCTACGGGGCTGTGATGCAGTGGGGACACACAAGGAAGATTTCCACTCACAGTAACATCTTTCAAGTGCAACACCAGCTGTGATGCCGTACACGATGATGAAGCACACAATGTGACGCCGATAATTCTCAACGAAACGTTTGAACTGCTGGATTTTCTGCTGGACCGGGTTCTTTATGTACTTCTCGCGCTTTGGCTTCACATAGACATTTGGAGTATGGACGTTTAACCTGAAAACAGTTGAACCTGTTACATTTTGTTTTACAATCTAAGTGTTAAAACAGATGCAAAAAGAAAACAGAAAACATGCAAACACCACAGAAAAAGGTCCCACCCAGCTGGTGGAACGTTTCCTGCTGTGAGGCAACACTGCTAACTGCTGCCCCACCTAGAATGTGTGTCATTAATCTAGCACACTTAAGTAGGTGGGTTAATCTAACTTCAAAGTGTTGCAGCATCATAAAAAGCACCAATTTGTTTTTATATTTTTACAACCAACACACAGTTACATTGTCAGGCATTGTGTTTACTTGTGGATTTGGAAGGTGATTCAGGTGTGCAGCAGGGCACACCTCAGTGATGTATAAGACTAACACTACACAAGCAAGGATTCAACTGGCAGCTCGGGCTGTCCCTTCCTCACTTTCTTTCTTTCTTTCTTTCTTTCTTTCTTTCTTTCTTTCTTTCTTTCTTTCTTTCTTTCTTTCTTTCTTTCTTTCACATGCTTGCTGAGTGGAGTTGAAATGCAAGGAAAGGATCCAAGTGAAGGAAGCCAGGAGACTTGTTAGCATAGTGACAAGCAGCCAATGTCTCTCTTTAAAAGTTTTCACGTCTTACTTTGAAGACTACTTTTCTTGTGTGCCTTCTTTTGTTTTCACTTCCCGTCTTTGTCTGTGTGTACTTATTCTGTGTGTCCATCAGTCCTTCAATGTGATTGGGCCTTGTCTTTGTCACTCACAGCATCTTCTGCAACTTAGCCTTACGCCTTTTTTTAAGTTTTGCCCCATTTTCCTTTAGTTTGTTTTCTATTTGTTTACTTTGATTGTTGAACTTCATCAGCCTAATTAAGGCTCACCTTTGGTTTTGCATTTAGGTTGTCTTGTAAATACACTTCACACACCAAGTATGGTTTTATTTAAAGCTGTGGTAGACTTTTGTCTTTCTCGGTATTCATAATTTTCATTCTTTAAAGAACTTAAAGAAACCATACCTTTTCCGTTTGCGTATCTCTGGTCCGTCTGTCTTGTGACTGCTGAAAAAAAGCAAAACAATATTGAACATCATAGAAATACAAGCTGGATAAAAGAAAGAAAGAATCCCGGATTTTTGTCTTAAGTATTACAAACATTTTTGATGTGAATGAGTTATGACATCCAGCTTTCTCACCTGTTTGCCGGACAAATGAAGGACACTCTCTGGTCTCGACTCAGCTTCTTCTTCCCCTGTTTCTCCATCCCTGTGCACATGCCAGACACACAACTGCATCAGACAAGGTCAGAAAAAGGAGGATGCTCTTAAACAAAACTTTCTCCAACCTTTGACATTGAGCTGAGCAAATTGCAGCTCCTTCTCGTGATCCCGCAGCAGAAAATGAAAGTCCTCCCACGAGATTTTCTCCTTGTCATCAAAGCCCGCGGCCTGCATCATGGCCTTGATGCCGTCCTCTGCCTGACTCTTTGAAAGAGCACCGTTGGAGATTTCTATGAAAGACCTGCAATTCATCAAAAGGTTGAAAATGACCCATAAAACACACAGACTAAATGTGGTGCACTCGTAAAAAAGGGAAAGACCAAACCTGAGCATCCTGGCAAATTCTTCTTTTGATAAGAAACCAGTTTCGCCAATGTCGTTCATAGAAAACATGAGTTTGGATTTTTCCTCTGGAGACCCTGAACACATACACATATCATCAGACATCAGAATTTAAATGTCTATCAATCAAAACAAAAAAATTTAAAGGAAGTCTTTTCAAAGTACAGCATCAGGTCAGTTAAACTTCTGGGATATTGATCTGGTCAGTTAAGTAGCAGAGGGGCTTGTCAATCAGTTTCAGTTCCTTTGGAGTTAACAGGTGCACCAGAGGGGCAGCAATGAAACAACCCCCAAAAACAGGAATGATTTAGGTGGTTGTTTTCGGACTTTTTATTCACAACCTTTGCATTTGGCTATAGTCAGTGTAACTACTGGTAGCACAAGGCGATACCTGAACCCTACAGAGGTTGCACAGGTAGTTCAGCTCCTCCAGGACAACATATGTGCCGTTACTAGAAAGTTTACTACTTCACCCAGCACAGTCTCAAGACAATGGAGGAGATTCCAGCAAACGGGCAGAAAGCTGGACAGAAGTTTCTTAACCCATCAGCGGGATCAGTATCTGCTCCTTTGTGCAAAAAGGAGCTGGATGAGCGCTGCCAGAGCAAGAAAATGACAACCAGCAGTGGTGTGAACGTCCCTGTCCAAACAATCACATGTAGACTTTATGAGGGTGGTCTGAGGGGCCAACATCCTCACAGGGTCCCGTGTTCACTTCCTGGCAGTGGAGCCCGATTGTCAGTTAGCATAGAATACCAGAAGTGGCAGGTCCACCTCTGCTGGCCTGTGCACACATTAACTGGCTGAGCTACAGTAAATCCAGTAGAACACCTCTGGGACACCAGTTTGCACCTCAAACTGTCCAGGAGCTCAGTGATGCCTTGGTCAATCTGGAAGGAGATCCCCCAGGACATCAACTGTTGTCTCATTAGGAACGTGATGCGATGTTATCAGTGATGGGCACAAATAGGTAGAGGCGATACAAACTACTGAGTACCATTTTGAGTTGCTTGGCAAACTGGACTAGCCTGCCTCATCATTTTTCACTTTGATTTTTGTGGTGTTTTTGAATTCAGCCCTCTGTATGTTGATCATTATGCAATGTGGCATCCTATCATTCCTAAATGAGATGTGCTGCTTTATTTTTTGGAGCAGTGTACCTACAGTGTAACTGCTTTCATGTGTGTGACTGATGTTCTTCATTTTTACTTGAAGTTGGACTGTTTTTCATGATGCTTTAAATACTGTTCCAGCATTTTTTTAAATTCTGGAAACCCATTCTTGTTTGTTGTTTTGGAGTTTGTTTGTTTTTTAATTACTATTGAAAGAATTTAAATTGCAGATGCACTTTTAGAGCCGTGGCTAAAAGGCAGAGCATACTTTGAAGTCACTAGTTTTACCTTTCATAAAGATAACAATAACATCCAGAAACTCTTGAAAGGAGAGGTAGCCATTGCCATCTTTATCAGCTAGTGTAAACATGGAGTCCACAAATAAGGAATCGGATTTGAGGCCAAGTGCATCAGCAAACTCCGACGCCGTCAGCTCACACTGGAGAACCTCCCTGGCTTTCTTGTGGGATATGCCACTCATGTCTCCGGCGTCACACTTCTCTATTTCCAAGACCTGTGAGGGAAGTGTTATTACATGTCACCATAGTGTCATTACTAATATCACAAACGTCAGCAGCATAATGTCATGGCAGGTGAGATCACAATCAAGACCAACAATTAGTTCTGTTGGTTTGTGGTCTGTCTAATTTGACCTTCAACTAGGATTGACGACATTTTGCGGCCAAGCACAAAGCTGCCGCCACAGGTGACAGGAGACAGAATGACATAAACATCCAGAAGGTGACTGTACCTTGGAGAAAGCGTGGCGAATGAAAGTTTCAACAATCTGAGCCCTCTGCTGTCTGGTCAAAGCCTCCTTCAGCAGTCCCTTCTCCCTCATCTCTCTGACTCTAACCTCCGGCCTGACGTCTGTCACCTCTGGGCGCAGTTGCCTGACAAATTCCATACGTTTGCTCTCTTCATCAAAAAACAGCACCTGTGTAAAACATTATTTAAAAAGGAAGAGGGTGATAAAAGCAATGGGTTTTAGTGATGCATGCATGCATCTAGGACCAGATGAGGTGGAAAAAAAGGGGGGGCATCACTTTGTCAGCGAGAACGTTGGTGCCTGCACCAGATGCTGCAGGGGCATTTCTGGGTTTTTGGTAATCTGATTACAACTGTATCCATAGGTTAAAACCATCTTATCCCAGTACTCACCAGGTCATACTCTTTTGGCACTTTGAGCAGCAGAGCCTTCTGCTGACAGTCGTTGGAGAGAACGACATCTAGGTAGTCCTGATTGCGCAGATTGATGCAGCGGTGAGCAGTTCCAGATCTGTCACAGACCTGCAGCCTCCGCTTCTCATCGATCTCCACGCTGACGGGCTGCAACTGTTTTTTATGACCCTGCCACTCGTATGCTAGAGAACATAAGCAGAATGAGATGAAGGTTGTGATAGCTTTCTGGATAAAATATGGAGGAGTCTAAAAGAACATGAGCAGAGAAAAACTAAAAACTTCTTTAACCATCTCCAGCTTTTCTTGTTTCTAGTAGGTTTAAGGTCAACTATATCCTTAGATTCATTAGTATTATTAGATGACATATTTTTACAGTTATATTCACACAACTGGCTCATTTTTTAATGAGACATAAATCATAGCTGATGACATAAACTGACATTGATCTAACCCAACAATGGACACAGCAAATAAATAACGTTTGAAGCTTTTCCTTTTAAATCTTATTTTGATTTCATACCACTGAGTCCCACAGCCGGCTCATCTGTTCTGTCACCAGCTTTCCTTTTTCTTTGGAACTTCCTGTAGCGATACTTTCTTAGATACGCCACGGTAGAGGCCACCAGAAAACTCACTGTAAAGGAAAACAATCAACTGCTTCACATTCAAATCAGAGTTTTTGCCAGGCAAGAAGACAGCGAGACCGTGACGATACTTACCAACAGGGAAGAGGAACATGACAATAACAAATATCCCAAAGCCAGCCCTGCTCCCATCAAAGTAATCAAGTTTTGTGGCATTAGTGCAAGAATGGAGCATTGATGCATTTAGCTGTGTGGGTTGAGGGCAGGGGTCACCTAATGACAGCAAAGAGAGCTTTCTTTATTTTTAAAGGACATATTTATATATAAAACTGAAACTTTTTGATCATAGACTTCATTTATTTGTACCATCCTTCCAGAAGAACACGTTATTCTGTATATGTGAGGCCTCTGCACTTGTCACCGCAATAAGGACGTCACGATACGTCACACTGCGGATCGCTTGGATCTCTTTATCCGTAAACAAACTGGAACCCCAAGAAAAAAACACTGAGACGACTAACTCAAATGCAGTGAGTTTTCTGTTCAGAAGTTTGTAAATGTAAAGGATAAAATATTCTCTTTCTACTGTATGAGGAAACTGAAATTACCCATTCTGCTTGTTCTCAAACCAAAAGCGGTCTCCATTTCTTATACGCTCAAACTGATCCAGCACAATAGCGGAGAAAACAGGACCCGGCCCATCAAGAGTTTCCAGCAGTCCTCCAGGGAAGAGCTCCAGCTTTGAGATGTCTCCATCATACAGTTCTGCAATGTCGCGGAGCAACTGTTGCAACAACACATTCATTTAATTCCCAGAATTAATGCCCAACTTTCTTTACTGTGTGTTTGGTTTTCAGATTTGTACCTGTGGGTTGGTGTGGTTGAGCTCAGGATTAATATCCTCAAATTTGTTTACAGGAGGCAAATCCAGAGCCTTTCTAATCTCAGTGTAACTCCGTAGACCAAAGTCTCTTCCTCGCTGGATGGTCATAGCCACCAGATCTGTCCGGGTGAACCTCAACGGTCCGTACATAAAATCTATCAAAGTATAAATAAAATTAGAGCGCTGCATATTTATTTGTTTATTGGGTAGTGATTAAGAAAGATTAAAACCTCTCAAGTCCTCCACAACAATATTATCTTCTCTCTCTGCAATCTGGGAGGCCATTCCCATGAGGAGGTCATCTACATCCTGGCTTTTCTTCATATTAACTTCCTGGGAAAAAATGAATGATAGAAACATTTTAAAATCTAGGAATGGGAAGTGCATAGTATAGTAGTTCATGCTTTAAATTCTGTCACATGCACAATACTGTACACAGAAAAAAATGCCTCTCTATGCTCTTCTTTTCTCTCCCCTCTTTCCATCACCCTTTAACCAGTCATGGTGAAACTCAGAGGCTCGGGTTGTTTTTTGTTCTTGGACCAAGATAAACTGATAACTGATTAAACTGACATCATAAGAAACTGAAGGTTGACATCCAATAAATAGTTAATTGATAACACATTTTCCTTTCTTTTCCTTTTTGTTTGGGGTGTTGAACTATTTCATTTCTTTCTGGTTTTCACATTCATTTCGGTTGTTTAAATTATTTTTGTGGTATATTTGAGTTGTTTATTTTACTTGAAAGTATTCCTACTTTAACAAAAAGCCAAATGGAACTGAGCAAGACATTTACATAAAGCAAATTTTCTGTTTCATAAATCTTTGGTCCTGTGTGTTGTGTGGGGTGGAGGTCTTATTTACTCCTACAGAGTTTGCTGCTGCCAGTCTCCTTCCCAATCCTAGTAGATCAGTGAGCGTGAATCTGAGTAAATCTGTGATAATTCTAAACTGGAAAGCTCTAGGTCTAAGATTCTTGATACAAGCCTTAGATTCAGATATTGTAGATGTTATACTTGGTGCCAGCAGTGTAAATCACTTTATTAAGATAGAGGGACACACGTCACATTCAGGTTACAATGGCAAAAGCCAAAATGGAGTTCTTCTTCCACACTGTCACCAAGTGCTTCCTCACGCTGTTTGATTACTGGGGTTCTATCACTAATACTGTACACTCTTTATCTTTTCAAATCACCTTGATAAAACTCTCACGGTGAACTGGCAACATTTACATAAAACTGAACTGATTAAATATCTTTTCAGTCATCCTTGGGATTTGTCTCTTTCTGTGTTTCCACTAAAAAAAAAAAACAACTACTACTTTGATCCTGCTCTCACTAAAAATCTTTTATACAAATAAGAACATCAAAATGAAAGCTGGTGGTGAAGCGTGTGGTGCACTATAGCAAACTTAATAAAATGCAGCAGTCTAAACAAAACATACCTGACGTTTCCAAAAGCTGTTACAAAGGCGCATTGCTGGCGATGTGCTCCCATCGATGTTGATAATTTCCCGAAAATGGCAGGTTCTGTTTCTGTAGGAAAACAAAGCGACAACGCACAGTTATTCTCACAGCATCTAGATGTAGGGTTTTACATGGTGTCTAACAATATTCACAGCAGGATACTGAGCTTTTATAATTTTTACCCAAAGGAAATATGGGAAGCAGTGGTATGTTTCTTTAAACTTCAGAGGTGTGTTCCCCATTCCCCCTGTTCCCAGTGGTCCCAGGAAATAAAGAATCATTACCTCATGTAAACACCAGGTGGAGCCATAGTGATACCAAACCGTATGGCAGCAGCCTGAAACTCAGGTGAGATCCCTGGATCAACAAACTTCTGGTAACCTGCATACATGTAAGTCAGAACATAATAAAAACAAAGTGAAAAAAAGAGTGACAGCAACAACAACAGAGTGAGAATTACTCCTCAAGCATGCAAACTTCTACCGCAGTGAGCCGACAAACGCAGTGAATAGAAGAAACAGTGAAAAAGCGACTGAGGTGATGGGATCATCTGACCATTATCTTCTAACTTTCTTCAGCCGTGGCTGCTTATTCAGCACAAGAAGAAGACTCGGGTTAATGCTTTGCTGACGGCACACACTTTTTGTCAAACTCCACCACCGATGGCTCACCTCACCACGGCTTGTGGTCACCGGTGCATGACCTGTTCTTCCCTGCTTCTACATGCACATGCACTCTGGCTGATTCTTACCTGGGTAGGGAGGAAGCTTTTTGCCATTAAGGTACGCAGGCAGCCATTCATAGAGAGCAATATTCTGTGTGGAAACAAGGCAGGAAAAACGTCAGTTTTTTATATTTAAACTGTGTATGAACCAGGCATAACGCAGTAGATTGATGTGATGATGAATCCAGTAGCTTACATTTTAAAAATAATTAATTGCGGGTGAATGATCTATTGTTCTAAAAACAACTAAAAACATCAAGACATGGTCACTGCGGTTCATGACAGCTTGCGCAGGGAGCAGAAGTGCTAATCAAATGAGTGAGGGATGATGCATTCGCCTTTAACGACCACCTAGCATTGATGCAACCTTCTTCTCTCAAGAGTGCAAATTAAATCAGCATCTGTGCAGCGAGAGGATTACGTGGAGACTTTTCCATCTACCTGGAATGTGGCCACAACGGTCTTCCTGGCGTTTTGAAACAGCTCCTCGTCTGACCACTCTGGGTGATTGTTGTGGAGTTTGGAGGCGATTTGATTGTGGTACCGAAACCAGATAATCCCCTCTGCTGCTGTGAACACGTTCTCGTTAGCCCAGGCATTTCCCAACTCTGGGCAGAAAAGAAGATAGAAAATCTAGCAAATTCTCCTCTGCCATCATTTCATTTTGCATTATTATCACAACACAATATACAGAAATTGCCTTTACAGTTAATATTTTTAAATAAAAATCAACCGAACGATCATTAATATTTCATGCATCTTTAGCCAAGTGTCCATTTCATTTTGTGTTGATTTTTCAAGATCTCTGACCGCTGATAGAACAATAATTTAGCTACTTGTTTTTAAGGACGTGACAACAAAAGGAGAAGATCCTCCCCAGACAGCCAACAAAAACACTGGTTTCATGACACCTGTATGCCATCTTCTCTGCTATAAAGAAAGGGATTTACTGTGGTTGGCGTGACAGGCCATTTACAAAACAACTACAGAGTCATAACCCACGTCAGTCTGGGCCTCCCTTGACTCACCCTGGCAGACTGTAACACAGACTGAGGGTGAAGAAGTATTTGCATACATTTTTTGGGTGTTTGTTTTCTTGATTGGGTGGATATTACCACATGGCGTGCAAAGAGAGTTATGTGATTTGGACTTATATAATGTGCAATCACAATGATTTAGTGATGCTTACGAAACAAAAACATATACACTGTGTGGACAAATGTACTGAGGCACCTGCAGTTTTAACTTAGAGGGGCTGCTCGGCCATGGAAACCCATGGCATGAAGTTCCCAGCTCACCATTCTTGTGCTGATGTTCATGCAGAGAAGGTTTAGACTTCTGCAGTTATTGAGCCAGCAGAGTGTTGGCAACTTTTCCACACTATCTGCCTCACTTGGCAACTCTGTAACTTTACATGGTCTGCTGTTTTGTGTTGCTATGGTTCCTAAATGCTTGAACTTAGATCTACAGGGAAGAAATTTCACAACCTAATTTGTTGCAATGGTGACATCCTGCTATAGTATCACACTCAAATCCAGTGAGCTCTTCAGAACGACCCAATCTTACACAACTGTCTATAAAGGCTGACTCCATGACTGGTGCTTGATTTTATACACCTGTGGTGATAACAGTGTCATCCTGTCTCCCTCTAACGCAGGGGTGGGCAATCTCAGTCCACGAGGGCCGGTGTCCCTGCAGGTTTTAGATCTCACCTTGGGTCAACACACCTGAATCACATGATTAGTTCGTTACCAGGCCTCTGGAGAGCTTGAGGACATGTTGAGGAGCTAATTTAGCCATTTAAATCAGCTGTGTTGGTTCGAGGACACATCTAAAACCTGCAGGGACACCGGCACTCGTGGACTGAGATTGCCCATCCCTGCTCTAACCCCAACTGGCTGTGGCAGATCACTACCCTTCCCTGAGCCTGTTTCTGCTGGTGGTTTCTTCCTGTTAAAAGGGAGTTTTTCCTTCTCACTGTCACCAAGTGCGTTTTTAAAGTGGGTCATTTGAGTATTGGGATTTTCTCTCTATCATTCTAGGGTCTTTACCTCACAATATAAAGCACCATGAGATGACTGCTGTTGTGATATGGCACTATATAAATAAAACTGAATTGAATAGAATAAAAACACCTGAATTTAAGAGGTGTGGCCCAATATTTTCCATATAGTGTATGTGGAAAAACCTCAGTATCAGTCTCAATATATAATGACTTCCTCTTACTTTTTTTAAGGAGAAGAAAATATTCAGATAATAGGCAACTGCATTGTTAAGTTTTGGCACACTAAATGTCATCTCTTGCAAACAAAATTAAGATTTAAAAAATGTAAAATAATACTATTTGTGTGGGCTTCCCAGACTCCATTTATAGAAAATAATTTTTTTTTTTAAAAGCTATTCCCTACATGCTATATGTCCTCCTACATGTAAGTATTATAATTACATATGAGGGTTAATTTTGTTCCTTTTTTATATTATTTATATTTAGTGATCTTGTCGAATGGGAAATTAGTGTTTGACACTATCAAAACTTTGTTTTTTCACCATAAAGGCCTTCTGCTACAGCTTCTCTTGTAGAGGGATCAGCAGCGCTCCACATCTGGCGTCCTCCTTTCTTGGGCATGTTCCACTCAGAGCCTGAAGTGAGGAGGCCTCCAGAGAAGCTTCTCCGGGAGTCGGACCAGGAAGTGGAGGGGCCATAAATGGAGCTACCATCTATCCAGGCGGTCACCAAGTTCACCTGTATTGTATAGTGTGCATGTCACATATAAATCAGGAAAAAACTGCCCATACAGCTGTTTGCACAGAGACACATTTACGCTGAAGACTGCAGCGGGACCTTAGACGCAACACAACTCTATCTTAACACAATGGTCAAGAAAGAATTGGTACCTGTATGCGAGGGTTACTGGGACTTTGTCCTGACTCTTTGTCCCACGGTCCTCTTTGGAAGAGCAGGAGGACTTTCCCGGAGGCGGTCGGGTCAAAGACAGGGTCACCTTTTGGGACTGGGATGTGCATGAACTCAGGTGGGCAACCAGGAGTTCTTGAGTCAAAAATTTCAAATGTAACATGATAACCTGAAAAAATGGAAAATAACTTCCTTTTACCTGCTTTATACTGTACTACATATATTAGCAGTTGTCAGAGTGAACCAGGCGCTCAGGTGACAGTAAAACTTATTAAACGTGTCCAATAAGGGAAAAGCTGAAAGCGTTTTTTGTTGTGTTAACTAAGTACTGTGGAAAGTTCACAGTGATTCAGTGGTCATTAAAATGTGTCCAGAATTTGCACATTTAAGATGATTTATGATGATTCATCCGGTGAATCATGTCACACTCCTCTCCCCTAGATAAGTTGCCTTTATCGGTTAAAAGTATCGGTATTGTTATTGGTATAGGCGACACTAGCCATGCATTTAATTGTTATCAATTTCCCAACCCGAAATTGAAGTATCGCACACCACTATCTCAGCAGACATCTTGGTAACGCCTCCGAACTCTTATTTTGAAGGATGATCTAAATTAACATTAATTTCAGAGTCAACAAGACGTAAAACTACACACACTGAAACACCAATCAAATCCGATCTTCATAATGTGTGAAAGGTTTGCTGTATTTGCCCTAAATTACGTTTTTAAAAAGTTCCCCCCTTGAAGGTGCACAAGTAAATTTCCAGTCAGGATTCTAGGCGTGCCATGTTTCAGTGTCAGTAATATCTGTGCTTTGTATCCTTCTTTTGCTCAGCGAACCATTTTATTTTACATTATTTATATAGCTTTATATTTACCAAAGAAAAGCGAGAGCACGGTCTGGTTGCGTGTGGAGGGGAGACCCGAGGGCCCCTCCGCCAGCAGCCTACTCAGTCTGCGGGGGTTTGGAAGCAGCGGCTCCTGGACAGGATGGTAGACTCCGTCCGAGTAATGCGCGGGCACGAGGCGCATCAGATGAGTACCTGCGCGAGCACAAGCACAGCGCGGTGATGTAGAGTTTGCAGAGTTCACCGCGGCTGCACACTTGAGCAACTCCTTGACTTACCGACAGCTCCGCGTCGGGGATATCCCAGACTGTTGTACCAGCCGTCAAAGCGAGGAACCTCCCAGGTTATCTCACAGTGCGAACCTGTTCGGTACATGTCGAGCAAATTGGAATTTATTTTACATTAATAAAGTTAAAAGAGTCTGAAAACACGGTCTTTGCTTTCTACTTACGTTCACTAACAGTGAGCACCAAGCCAAACGCAGCACACACACTCCAAACCCATTTACGCAAATCCATTGATGCGAGAGGTGCTCCTCAGCGCAGGATTCGGCCAAGAGGAGTAGTTGAGTACTGAGAAGTGAAGACGGAGTGAAGGTAACTTGTATTTCCTTTTATATCCTCATTAACATGTAATAGAGGCTACTTTTTATAAACAAGGCTGCTTTAACAGAAAGAAGAAAATTCCTACAAGTTTAACTCGACTGCGCTCTAGTTTTTCAAACAAACAGCAAAACTTGACAAAAACCTAAACTGCACCGCTTCATCGCGACAGTACCATTTAACGTGTATGTTATGTCTATTTAACTCTAGTCCAAAGAAAATATCATGTGCCTTTTATCTCTTAGTATCTGACTGAAGATGAGGAAGTAGTTGATTCTCACCTACTGCAGAGGTTGAAGTGTTGCGCAGAATAGTTCAGTAGCACAGGTGCTGCGGAGGGATGGTGCAATACTAAAGTTTAAATGTTCTGCACAGCTTATCACAAACTCAATGTGACCTGTTTCCCAAATGGGAATGGCCATCATTCCTGGATCACACCTCTTTTCCACAGTATTCCAGTTAATGCATCCTCCTCCCTGGTGAAACGAGGGGGGGCCCTGCTGGTATAAAAGAAGCCTATGCTTCTTCAACCTTCACACTTAACTTCCTTCTCCTTCAGTGATCACTGACTTAACTTTAAGGTAAGATATCTCTATCTCTATCTCTAAGATATTTCTATACAATAGGTTCATTGAGTTTTTGTCATTATTATTATCATGATTATTTAAGGTGTGACTGAACACACTAAAATCAGGATGGAGAAAAGAGAAGAGCAGTGATTTACATTACAGTGGCAGAGGTGGCTGAATGGATGTATAGGATTGCATGTGTTTGTCTGTTAAACAGATGCATTTATTTCTTTGCAGCGAAGGCACACAGTGCCAGAGGAGTTAATAAGGCGGCCATGTTTATGTTTAATCATGCCATGTTACATAGTCGTAGTAATGTAAAGCACCTTATCAGCTGTGAGTAACAAGAGTGTCTATCTCTGCATCTGGGTGGGGAAACTGAGAACTCTGTCACTAACACTGTCTTCTCTGTTATGCTGTCTAGTCTCAGTTGTGTCTGTAAGAGCAGAAGCTAAGATGACTTTCTACGATGACATTTACCCATTCTACACTGTACAAAGGACTCCGTTTATCTTCAGCAGCCGCTTGCTCACCATTATTCTGGTCTTCCTTGTGTTAGCGGTCAGTCTTCTTCTCATTCTGCCCGGGATACGAGGGAAGTCGGTGAGTGCAACCAGGTCCAAAAAAAGAAAAACTATTACTCACTGCAAATGAGTGACGAAACCTCACTATTGTTCTCTCTCTTTCTGCGCCTCCAACAGTGGTTGCTGAAAAGTGCAAAAATAATAGCAGTTGTAATGCTGTCATTTCAGTTTCCTCACCTTTTTTTTCCATTCAAGTCACCTGAAATAATTTGTCTGTCTCTTCCTCTCAGCGGCTCTTCTGGACATTTAGAATAGTTACCAGCTTGTTCATTGGTGCCGTGATAGTGGGTGAGTTTTGCATTCGTATTGTTTTTCAAAGATTTTATTCTTCCTGCCACCTTTGTTTTCTAGACTTTCAAGTTAATTTTTTCCCTGCAGCACTCAACTTCACTAACGACTGGGCCGAGGCCAGAATGACCACGAAAGCCACCTATAAGTCTTTCAGCAACGCGGTGGTTAACGCGGAGATTGGCTTGCATGTCGGACTGTATGGCATTAACGTTACGCTGAAAGGTGAGTCACAGTAAGCAACCTGTGACGTCTCGTCAAATATTCCTGCAGTTTTTATTGTGAAAGGAGTCGGTGCTACAACAACATCTTCTGCATATACACGTCAGAAAAGTTCCTTTTTTATCTGTGTTGCTTAGTAGTATTTACATCTGCTTGATCTCACTCAGGGAATCCTGTCGTACAGTTTAATGAGACCATTGACTACAATGAGATGTTCACCTGGCATGACACTATTGAAGAATATGAGGAAGCTCTGGAGAAAGGTTTACCCAACCCCATTCTGTATATCGCTGAAAAATTCACCCCGAGCAGCCCGTGCGGTCTCATCTTTCAGTACAGATACTCTGGACGATACGCGTCTGCAACACTCTGGTGATTGTTAATAACTCATATCTTGATTTTGTCAAATAATACCGTGCGCTCTAATTTTCGGGCGATGTAGAAATTCCAATCCCTGTGCAATAATTGCTCCACAGGACAGCATTTTGCTGCTGGATGCTCGCCAACATCCTTTTCTCCATGCCAGTAATCCGGTACGCTGGGTACATGGTGGTTGCCACTGCTGCATTCATCTTCTTCTCCATGATCTCCTTCACCACCATCATGAATGTGCCTCAGTGTGTTTTCTACATAGGAACTGACTCCTTTGAAACAGAATACAGCCATTCGTTTTGGCTGGCCCTGGCTACAGGTAAACACATGAATTTGCACATAGATTTTGCATGTTTTGCACTTGAATTTATCATTCCAAGCCCGACTGTTACTAACTCAGGTGATTTTCAGGCATCCTGTGCACCCTCATTGGGCTTCTTGTGGTGCTGCTTGACTTTTTGGTCCCTGAGAAGATGAAAGAGGCTTTCAGTGTCGGTGTCGACGGCTGTGAAGACGAGGATGATTCATACAGTGAGGGCTACCTGAATTCATTTTTCCTCGATGGAGTGACAATTTCACCAGTGAATTTAAAAGTTACAGAAGTAAGTACATTCATGAGGGTGGTTCGTACAGTTTTTGAGAATATTAGTAATCAACAAATTATCATTCTGCTGCCTGTTAATATCTCAATCATTTGTTTAAAGCAGCAACAGTTCTTATCTTTAATATAAGTAAATTCTACTGTGGGACAAGACCGAACAGTGTATTAATAAGGCATTCCCATAGTTAGTTTATACGGCCGCCATAGTCACCTTTATATCCATGATAAAGACGTCGTTCAGCTAACTTTGATCGTTTTCTTTCTGTGTTACAGGAACATTTATGAAGCTGTGCAGATTCCCTCTCAGGGAGATTTCTTTGTTCATACTTGAAAATAATTTTTGTTGAATGTGTTACAGTTAAAGTCTCGACTTTCACATGTGTTAGTTATCTGTGTGAGCCTGTAAATAATAATGTCTTAAAATTGAGTCCACTGTAAATAGTCACATTTGTAAAGGTCACTCTCATGTTGTAGTAGCTGTAAATAAACATAACTTCGTATGGGATCCATACAATGTGTATATAGTGTGATGGGTGTGGATGGTAGAGCTCTCGTTGTTTTGCTTGTTTGGTAATGAAACATGAGACAACACAGATACATATTGATTGTACACAGAGTATACACTTTCAGAATCCGCTTTTTTAAATGAAATGCACATTTGGTTTTATTTACATTAAACTGATCAGAAAGTTGGTCAAAGACATTATTAACCTCTTAAGCCCCAACGCCCCCTGATACGGGGGCAAAAGGCAGGGGATCAGTTAGGCTTGGGGCTTAAGAGGTTAATAAAATTAAGCCTACTCGATCCAAGAAATTGCTTAAAAACTGAAGATGTAATACGGCAGCACGCGCTACTCCCTCCAGAGACCAGTGCAATCTGGTTCTCACCAGAACAGAAAACATTAGAGTCTCTAGTTTCAGAAACACAACTCCTAAGCTGGCAGCATTATTGAATACCTGCAAGAGCCAGATGGCACAAATTTACGACGGGACTGGTGAACACATTTCTGAACATTTAATGATATACTAAGCAAAAACAAATGAGCTTTTTATTTCTAAAAGGAGATTTCTAAGCGACCCCACACTAGTGAGAAGCAGCGAGAGCCTGAATGTTGGAACATGTGGTTTCCTTGCATCAGATTCATGCACACACAGTGCTCTGATAGGTTGAACTGATTCTCTTGTAATCCTGTTAAATATGTTTTTTTTCTGTCCTGTAATTTTTTTAAGAGCTGAATAAAATGAAAACAAACAAGTGCTCAGCAGTGAAACTGTATTTTCTGTGTGTTATAACTGTACATTCATTCAGTATTGTATATTCTGATACATTCTTGTACGCTCTGGTAAAAGTAATGATCATCCATATACTGTATGTCCTTGAAAATTAAGAGTGTCTTTGGCCTTCAGCGTCACCACGATACACAGAGTTTAGTGCCTTTGTACAGCATCTTATTATCTTCTTTTGATATTAATTGTAATAGATTAACATGTTGGATTGAGAATGAATCCCTGGTCAGTAAATCGTATTCTTCATTATCACATGCATATACTGCAGAAGTTATATGGCCTTTCCAATCATGTCCTTGAGAAATCCAAAGTATTTACAGTAGAAGTACAATTTTAAACTCCATACACATTATAAAAATGACTAAATAAAAAATAAATGTACTAATTTATCTCTTCATAAGAAAATAAACATGACCGTAAAGCTACTTTTCTTCAACACCATAAACTCACGTACAGTACTACAGACAGAGTATTCACATTGTAAGGCCATTATGACGATGTAATTCAAGATAAAACCTGGGAAAATGAGAAACGGATGTTCTTTACAGCGTCGCGACAACAGGCCAAAAAAAATAAAATGATAGAAAAATAAATTCTCCTCGTCCCACTGAGCCACCCGTCTTATTGTCGTCACGCAGCCAGACATGCAGAGCTACAGTGGGGCTGATCCATGCAGGGTCCTCTATATGTAGACGGGCGTCTCCTGTCCCGTCAGCAGTCTGAACATCACAGCAGGCATCGTCTTCATGTTGATCTGGCACAGAGGGAAACATGAAAGAAGCAGGGTGGGTAAATGCAGGGTGTCAAACATGTGGCACACGGGCCTTGAATTGGCACCACAAAGACTCTGAGGCGGCCCACAGGAAAGATTTGGGACTTTTAACTGCATTTTTATAAATTGTACAGTTTTTTCTACTGATAAAGGCCTCCTTCACGATTGTTCGTACTACACCTAAGTTAAAGAAAAAAAAGAACAATGAAATGACAAAGAAATCCTATTTTTTCGCCATCTAATAGAAGAGTTTCTATTTCTTTATGGTATCTTTTAAAAAGCAAGAAAAACTTTGCTTTATTATTACAGGTCAGTCTGGGCAATGAGATACATTCTCTGTGCTTTTACACATCTATTACTTACAGTTTAGTCCCAAAGTGTCATGTTTACAGATTTCTTCCATTTACTACAGCAGAATTTCTTTATCATATAGAAAAACTGAGACATGCAGCTAAAATTGTACTTCTTTTTTTGTATGTGAAGATATCAGAGGGGTTCTGACTGGGGTTAAACTTATCCCTCGCCTGAAAGTCAAAGTGGGCTGTATGTGGCCCACAATGTAAAGTGAGCTCCCTGGGTTAACCCATCAACTTCAGATGCATTTACACATGCACAGATATGTAATCGGCCCTAATTTACTTACTCCTCTCTG